AAAATACCATTGCTTGGGTCAGGCACACCCTTAGTTTTCAAACTTAGTCCTTAGTATTTTCTCTTTAACACTTTAAACAAGTCTTTTGCAGCAAATTTACCTAACACAATATGTCATTAGGTGTATTTCTTAACTGCTGTTTCCACGAGTGTTGATAGTGGAACCAAGCTTAATAAGGTCTTTGAGAACTTCAATCTTTTCTCTGATTATCATGATGTTATTTATTGGTCCAGTTGTGAGGATTTTTGTTTTCTTTACTTGCGGTTCAATCCATACTGAAAGCTGTAGTTTTTGGTTTTCATCAGTATTTTAAGTCATCTTTACTTCCAGGAAGCAAGATTGTATCATTTGCATATTGCAGATTGTTAATGAGTCATCATACAATCCTGATGCCACTTTCTTCTTCATGTAATTCACCTTCTTGGATTATTTGCTCAGCATACAGATTGAATGAATGTGGTGAAAACATACAACCCTGGCACACATCTTTCCTGATTTTAAACCATTCAACATCTGTTTGTTGTGTTTGAATACATGCCTCTTGGTCTATGTATAAGTCCGTCATGAACACAATTAAATGTTCTGCAATACCCATTCCTCAAAATGATATATGTATTTGTTATGATTCACACAGTTGAATGCTTTTGCATAGTCAACAAAGCACAAGTAAACAACTTTCTGGTATTCCCTGATTTTAGCCAAGATCCATCAGATATCATCAATAATAGTCCTACTTCTTCATCCTTTTCTGAATCTGGCTAGAATTTCTGGAAGTTCCCTGTTGATGTACTGCTGCAATAATTTTATAATTGTGCTTGCATATGCTATCAATGATATTGTTAAATCATTTCCACATGTGTTTTGGGTCACATTTCTTTGGAATGGGCACAAATGTGGATCTCTTCCAATCAACTGACCAGGTAGCTGTCTTCTAAATTATTTGTCATAGATGAGTGAGTGCCTCCAGTTCTGCATCAGGTTGTTGAAATATTTTAATTTGTATTCCATCAATTCCTGGAGCTTTGTGTGATTTTTGTTTTGTGTTTGCTGTTTGTGTGATATCTAAATCATTTATTTATTCTTTCAATGTTTTTGATAAGTGCCATGAAGACTGTTCCGACTCATAGCAACCCTTTATAGTGTTTCCAAGGAAGTGCTGGTGGTTTGAACTGCCAACTTCATAGTTTGCAGTCCAGTGCTGATCCTACAGTGCTATACCAGGAATCCATTATTTCAGTAGGATTTCCTAAATGCATTGACTCTTTTGAGCTTAATAAATGTTAGCTTCCTTCTTACTAATTTTAATTATACAACCTGTTAAGAGTAGAATGCATGTAAACAGCAAAATATCTTTTAAAATTTCCTCAACTTTGAAAATTCCCTACCTAGAGGTAATACTGTCAACAGTGTAGTATTTTCAAGGACTTTTGACTCACTGGGACACAGTAAACAGGACTTTAAAAATGTCAGTATATGTATATGTCTTCTCTGATGAGTGTTCATGTGTGTATAAAAATCTACAGTCAGATAACTTTGCTTGAAGTAGATTTTCTTTAAAAGAATGGGCAGATTGCATGCATACTTCAAAAGCATTTTTCCTGTACAAAATAAAAAAAAATTTATATAGGTTTTGTTTGCTATCTTAATTTTTGTTGTATTCTTTGATGTTAACACATTTTGTGTAATTGTATCATATAGCTGAATTGAATCATGTCGTATCAAATATTAGATGTGATTTAATAGTGTTAATCAGTTTATACCCATTTTAGTCACTTTTTTCCCCCCAAAAAATGCTGCCAGATGCTGATGTTGAGTGTAATTTCTCTGCCTGTTCAAATTATAGAAAGTGGTGCTAAGTTGTAGTATGTATTGTACCTTTGAACACCTAATGTATATATCTCATGTAACAGAAAGAGCAATAATAAACCGGCAATCCTGAAGCTAGAGTATGGCAGAACAAAAACAAACAAACAAACAAAAAAACTGCAGTTTTATTTTTAACATAAGTTAGATTGATACATAAAGATCTATAATATCCTTTATAGCAACTGTTGTTGTTAAGTGCCATCGAGTCGATTCCGACCCATAACGACCCTGTATGGGGTTTCCGAGGAGCAGTTGGTGAGCTTGAACCACCGACCTTGCAGTTCAAAGGGCTTTGCAGCCTGATGCATTAACCCACAGCGCCACACCAGGACTCCATAACAACTGTGGCAGTGGTGGTTATGTACCATAGAGTCAGTTCTGACTTATAGCGACCATGTACCATGTACAGGGTTTCCAAGGCTGGAAATAATGGGGGCAGAAAGTCTCATCTTTTTCCCACGGAAACAGCTAGTAGTTGTGAACTGCTGACCTTGAGGTTTGCAGCCCAATTCGTAACCACTACACTACTAGAGCTTCTTATAACAACTGTAGTATATATGTAAATACACATAAACCATGGGGACTCAAAAAGTTCATGGAAAAATTCTGTTATCTATGAATGCCCTTTTCCCGTGAACTTTTTGAAGCATATTTATATATACGCATAAGCAGGTGCTTGGCAAAAAATGAGGGAGTCAGACAGAACTTCAGTAATCATGGGACTGCTTCTATACCTCCCACTGCAGTGCAGAGAAGGTATAACCAAAGTTGAAGACCCATCCTTCTGTTATTCCTAACAGCAACTCTAAGCCCCAGAGCATATCAGGGAGCCTCTGAAAATGTATGTGTCTAATCCTAAAGTTATGGAGCCCTGCTGGTGTGGTGGGTTAGGCTGCTAACCACAGTGTTGGTAGCTCAAAGCCACCAGTCATGCCTCAGGAGAAAGATGAGGCTGTCTGCTCCAGTAAAGATTTATGGTCTCAGAAACGAGTCAGAGTTGATTTGATGGTAATGGGATGGTTTGGGTAATCCTGAAGTTTCAGGAAGGACAAAGGACTGGTCAGACACTTTAGATGATGGTAGTAGCTTCAGTGACATTTGAAGGACAGTTTTTAACAACCATTTGAGGACCACAGAGAAACACTTGTTGTTGTTGTTAAGTGCCGTCGAGTCGGTTCCGACCCATAGCGACCCTGTACAGGGTTTCCGAGGGTGTAAATCCTTACGGGAGTAGAAAGCCTCATCTTTCTCCTGCGGAGCGGCTGGTAGTTTTGAACCACTGACCTTAAGGTTCGCAGCCCGATTCATAACCACTACGCTACCAGAGCTCCTTACTAGTGACAAATTGGAGGTGAGGATAGATTTGTTTATTGGAAATAAAGATGATAATTACAGAAGAACCAGCAGGTTAGGAACACTATGAAGTTTCTGACACATCCCAAACAAGGAAGGCAATTTTTTTAAAAACTTTTTATTGTGAATCGAGTGTAGGTTTACAGAGCAGATCATCGGTTTTACATTTAGCAAATCCTATATTTTGCTTCATTTCAATGATTACAATCCCCACAGTGTAACATCACTTATCCCATTTCCTCCCTATGATTCTTATTTCCCTTTCTCCTTTCCCATACCTTCTGAATTTTGTCCTTAGGCAAATGCTGCCCTTTCTTGAATGATAGTCCAGTCTATGGTGAACATATCTTACAGATGTTGTTGTCCGCTGGATACCTGTCTACAGTTTGGCAATAACAGAACCAGGAGCCCTAGACCTGAAGGGTAACCGAGACCCATAGACTCAGGTTCCCCCAGTGTCTTTCTGATCCATAAGCCTGTTGGGTTTTTGTTTTTTTTTTTAGTAATTCTGAGTTTTGTTCCACATTTTCTCTCACTCTATTCAGGACCTTCTAATGTGATCCTTCCCTTTTAGAGCAGTTGGTAGCAGCAATCATTAATTGTGGAGACTGATGCTCACGTGTCCGTTAGATTAGTCCATTGGACTAACTGCTTCTAAGCATCATCAATTTTCATCCCTCCCCTTTCATACACACAGGGAGGGACCAATAATTGAACCTTAGATGGCCTTTAATGAGCTTTTAAAACCCTAGCCTTTGACCATTTTACTCCTTCTATGAAATATGCCTTACTTATCATTTTTAAGCAATCAAGTGGACTTATTAGGATGATTTTGTGCTAGTTTTACCTTCTGTACTAAATTTAAAATCTATTCTCTCCAAGATGTATCCCAGCTATATGTAATTTTGACAACAACCCTAAGAGGTAATATTATTCTCTTCATTTTCCAGCCAAGAAATGGAGGTACAGGGAGGTTAAGTAACTAACTGTTTCTGCCCCATAACAAATGAGTGACTGAAGCAGGATTAGAACCCAGTTTCTTCAGTACCAACGTTTGTGCCGTTAACCCTCATGCTGTACCCTCTTGCTTCATTAGCATCATGGTAACTTCTGTGAGGAATTTTCTATTAAAAATATACATATGCAAATTGTAGAGAATTAAACTTCAGGCATTTGCCTTTTTATATTAGATACATTCTGATCTGGCAGAAGAAAGAGGAATGAAAATTACATACAAATACACTGGAAAAGGAATTACAGAGCCACCTTTTGGAGTGTTTACATTTAATAAAGACACTGGAGAACTGAATGTCACCACAATTCTTGATCGAGAAGAAACACCTGCTTTTCTGGTAAGACCTATTTTATGTTTACCAGTTTGTAATTATTGTTAGGTAATAGTTACAATTTTTTAAAATTCTTTTTATGATGATGATTATTCCATGACCTTGGCTTAAACTAATCTCTTTTATTATTCTTCAGCTAGTGGGTTACGCTTTAGATGAATATGGAAACAACATGGAAAAACCATTAGAACTACGAATTAAAGTCCTTGACATCAATGACAACGATCCAGTGTTCACACAGGATGTCTTTGTTGGGAGTGTCGAAGAGTTGAGCGCAGCACGTAAGATACTATTCTTTTTATAAATGAACACTCAGGGTCATTTTATACCCACTGTGGAACTGAATATGATGAAAACCTGTTTTGTAATGTAATCCAAACATTACACATAGGACAAATAATAATGAATTCGATTTACAACTGCTTTTATGTGATAAGGTTAAAAGACTTTTTATGGCATCTTTTTCATCCTCAAAATTGGTACGGTAGATTAATGGAAAAGGTAAGATCCCTATAGCAACCATTCTTGAAAGCAGTCATAGGTAGTACATAAATGAAATGGACGTGTGTGCCATGCTTCAATAACAGATGACTGGTGATATTTGGGGCATTGGCTATGGATGGTTGTCCCCTGAATTCTAATTATTTTTGCTTAAATTTTATTGACGTGTTTGGTCAGTGCAGTGCTGTCTATGATAATACTCAAGAGATATTTTTCTTCAATCATAATATTTAAGAAGAATAACATTTCTGATTCATTTGCATATTAATAAACATCAACATCATAAATATTTCCATAGGGTTTACGAGGAGTGCCTGGTGAGTTTGAACCACTGACCTTGTAATTAAAACTGGCCTTTTGGTCCAGTGCTTATCCTACAGCACCACACCAGGATTCCATTAATAAACACCAGCATTATAAATATTTTCATATTTCTCTCTTTGTAAACAAATTTGTTGTCCTCCTATATCGAGCTTTAAGGACATCACCATAGGAATTTATGTACTAACATCAGCCTAGTCCTCATAGTTTTTGTGTGTTCATATTCCATTCATGTTAATTTCCTAATCTAGCAATTTTTTGTTTGGTAGTTTAAATGGTATGTGATTTTGATATGTACCTGAAATCCTTTTGGGGATAAGCTAACACTGTAAGTAAAATGTTAACATAATATGTTTGAAGTTGAGATCCATCTTAGATATCTTTGTTTCTAATGCCAGATACTCTTGTGATGAAAATCACTGCAACAGATGCAGATGAACCCAATACTATGAATTCTAAAATTTCCTATAGGATTGTATCTCAGGAGCCTTATGATCCTTCAGTGTTCTATCTAAATAAAGACACAGGAGAGATTTATACAACAACTTTTAAATTGGACAGAGAGGTAAGTAATATAATGTCACTGTTTTAAGTATACTATTTTTTTCAATATCTCCTCTCCATTTCTTTTCCTTTCCTTTCCTTTTTTTTTTTCTTCAGTGTTGTTCTGTATTCTTCATTCTTAGGAGGACTGTTAAGATTGTCTCCATTTAGGGCTGTGCTCTCCAATGTGGTAGCTGTTAGCCACATGTGTATTAGCACTTGAAATGTGATTCATGTCAATTGAGATGTGCTGTAAGTGTAAAATACTCTCTAGGTTTGAGACTTACTGTGAAAGAAAGAATGCAAACTGTCTCATTAATTTTTATATTGATTACCTGCTGAAATGATGCTTTTTTTAATATAATGGGTTAAATATTTATCTATATTTGGCTGCTAACCTTAGGGCCAGAAGTTCGAAACTACCAGCTGTTCCGCGAGAGAAAGATGAAGCTTTCTGCTCCCGTAAAGATTTATAGCCTCGGAAACCCTGTACAGGGTCGCTATGAGTCAGAACCAACTCCACGGCACATAACAACAACAGCAACATATAACTAATACCACTTGTTTCTTTTACTTTTTATAATGTGTCGCTACTAGAATTTTTTTATTTTAAATTACGTATGGACTGTGCTGTTCTAGGTCCAGTCAAGATTCTGTTTGCTAAAGAATCCAGACCACAATACTCAGTTTGTGGTTGTATAATGAAATTTCACTGGACTTCTAGTCACAAGGTCAGCAGGTCACCAATGATTCCCTGGGAGCAAAATAAAGCTCTATGCTCCAATAAAGATTTACAGCCTCAGAAACCCTATACAGGGGGGCTGCTATGAGTTAGAATTGATTCCATGGCACTTAACAACAATAAAATGAAACTTCAAGACTTTCTTTCATGTTAGTACATACATGAGGGTGAGTCAAAATTATCTGTACTCTGGCTGTAGAATGTATTTTAAATCAATTTTTAGAAAAGACAAACAAATCATTTTTCAACACAATCTCCTTGCTTTTCAGTACAGTTTATCTATCTGTCAACAAACTTTCCTATCCACTTATTTAAAAAATGTTTTAGACTGATCTGTGAGCCAGAAAAGCAACTCTGTGTTCACTTCCGCATCAGAGGTGAATCTCCATTCTCTGAGGACTGCTTTCAGGGGTGCAAACAGGTAAAAATATGATGGAGCAAAATCAGGACTATAGGGAGGATGCTTTAATATCTCAAAATGACGTTTTTGTAGAGTACCAACAGTGTGGGCAGAGGTGTGCAGGCGTGCATTGCTATGCAAGATCACAATGCCCTTAGATAGCAGTCGTCTGCATTTAATCTAAGGTTTAGGTGTCAGTTCTTCAGTGAGCATCTCACTCTAATGAACATTGTTGATTGTTGAACCTTTTTCCTGACAGTGGTCCAATGCTGGACCTTGAGAGTCTCAGAAAATCTTAAACATCAATTTTCCAGCTGATGGTTGAATTTTGAAATTTTTCTTGGTTGACGATTGAAGGTGTTTCCATTCCATACTCTGCCATTTACTCTCAGCCTTGTATTGGTTAATCTATGTCTCATCACCAGTAACACTTTTTTTAAAGAAACTGCCTTCCTTCAAGCATTGGTCTGATTTTTGATTGCAGATGTCCAAATACTTTTGTTTATGTTCTTCTGTGAATTCTTACAGTGCCCATCTCACGCAAACATTTAGAAACCCCAATCTGTCATAGATTATTTCATAGGCAAAGCCATGACTGATTTTGCAAATAAGTTTCCATATAATCCACTGTCCCTCATCTCCTTGACAGAATCATTTCATGTGCATTCTCAGTGTTGTCCTCAGCAGTGAACATGGATGGGCATCTTAATATAACCAGAAAGTGTATCATTTTTTATTCATACACATAAAAAGTAGAGGCAATGCTCAAAATAGGAGTCTTAGTTAGAATAGTAAAAATATTTGTAAAAGAGAAATTTTCCAAATCTCAAATTGGAGAACACATTAAGTAGGTTTTTGTGGGAGAGTTGCAGATGTTCTGTCAACCATTTCACTTTTTATTTCAAACTAATAGGGGAAAGCTTTGGTTAAAAGAATATAAGGAAGATGCTATAGGCATATGTATATGAATAAAATATTGAACAGAAAGTCCCCCACTAAATTGAACTGTAAATCATAGTTCAAGTGCAGTGTTTTTAATATTTGGAAAAATAATTCAACTCTGTCCAGAGTAGAGAATGATTGTGTCCAACACTCCTATAGGAATCTTTGTAATATTTATGAATATTATTATTCTTAAAATTTTACTCTACACCTTTTCACATAAACTTATGTTAAAGTATTATTTTGAAATATCAGTATGATTTTGACAGTTGTTGTCTCTGAACTATAGAAAGTTTAGCTCCTAATAATGGCTAGCACCCATTAAGCATTTACCATGTTATTCTAAGCCCTTCACATGGATTAATTCACTTAATCTACATGGTGTAGATTCAATTATTTCCCCAATTTGGAAGTAAGGAAACTAAGGGTCAGAGGGTCACACAACTAGTAATTGACTAAGCAAGAGGGTCACACAGGTACTAAGTGACTCCAGAGCTCTGCTACCCTTCCTTACACATAGATCACCGTGTTCTGGGTACTTTGTGAACAGCTCCTTCTTAAATTCCAGAGACCAGGTAGACTCCTTACTTTGTAGTAACTTCTGAGACATTGTTCTCTAGGACACATTCTCTAAGAATCATCTCAGGATATCTCTGCACATTTCATCAAGTTTTGCTTTCACTGGTCAAGTTTTTTTTTTTTTTTTTTTTTTTGATACTAGCTATGTCTGGCTTAACTTTTAGCAGAGAATGAAAGTGGAGTAAAAAGAACCACTCTCCAGTGTAGAATATGCAGTACTCCCTTGTCTAGACTTATTTCCTGATAATACCACTAATGACATATTTAAGAGAATTGATGCTTTTCAGTTATGGTGGTGGAGGGAAACATTAAAAGTACTGTGGACTGCCAGAAGAGCAAACAAGTCTGTGTTGGAAGAAGTACAACCAGAATGTTCCTTAGAAGCCAGGATGGCCAGGCTTCCGCTGGTATACTTCAGGCATGTTATCAGGAGGGACTAGTCCCTAGAGAAGGACATCATGCTTGGTAAAGTGGAGGGTCGATGAAAAAGAGGAAGCCCTCCAATGACATGAATTAGCGCAGTGGCCACAGCATTGGGCTCAAGCATAGCAATGACTGTGAGATTGATGCAGGACTGGACAGTGTTTCATTCTGTTGTGCATAAGGTTGTTATGAGTTGGTTCCAACACTATGGCACCTAACAACAACAACCACTTCTCTAGGTCTTTTTGCCCTTTCATAAAAGTTCTGACTACAAATATACAATGTCTTCAAATGAATAGTAAAAGGTAATGAAACTTGGTTGGGAATAAGCTATACCAAGGTTCAGTCTTATGATAATAAAATGAACGTTTTAAAACAAGAGAGAAGGATTTGGAAACAATTCACTTTTACCCAGTTGGATATTTTTCATTGTTCTGCAGGAACACAGTAGTTATTCTTTAACTGTAGAAGCAAGAGATGGTAATGGACAAATAACAGATAAACCAGTAAAACAAGCTCAAGTTCAGATTCGTATTTTGGATGTCAACGACAATATACCTATAGTGGAAAGTGAAATGGTAACTACTATTTTTCCAAAAAGTGTACTTTCTCATATTTTCATTATAACTAAAAATATACCACTTTAGTTTGTATTACAATAAAGTAAAAACTGTACATTCGTGTTTTGCAGTATGAAGCATCTGTTCAAGAAAATCAAGTAAATGTAGAAGTTATGCGCATCAAAGTGTCTGATGCAGATGAAGTAGGCTCTGACAATTGGCTCGCAAATTTTACGTTTGCATCAGGAAATGAAGGAGGTTATTTCCATATTGAAACAGATGCTTTAACTAATGAAGGAATTGTGACGCTTATTAAGGTAGGTACTTGGTTTTCAAAATTGGTATGGGAGAAGATGGTGCAGGGGAGGGAACTAATATTGCTTAAGCCCAAACATTTCACAAGTACTTTAATACTCAATGTACTGGCACCACAGTTGTCTGACATAGAGGCCATCCTAATTTGCCTAAATTCTGTGGTTAGTAAGTGTTTATACTACAATTCAGATTTGAGTTTGCCTCATTCTATAACTCATACTCTTTCCACAGCACCAACTTGTACACTTAGAGTCCAAACTTAACAGTCCTTCCTTCTTAGGTCAGATAATTTTTAAGATGGCCTGGAAAGCTAACCCCTGAATGGAGAATCTAATTCTAGCAGACACACATCACTAACACATACCCCACTTCCAGGCTAGTCACAGTCCAGTGCTTACCCCACAGTGCCACATCAGGACTCCTACTGCATAGCCCTCCCTTACTACATCTCCTTTGCTCTACTTTGTAGTAAAGGCAGATTTCACTACTAGCATCTAAAAACAAAAGCTGTAATAACAAAGTTGTAGTTCATACATCCTAGTACTTAGATATGCCTAACAATCACCCACCAGGACTGTCTGCCCAAAATTCAGATTCCTGCCCCCTACATGAGTAAGTTTGATTGAGTGGGGCTCAGGAACATGTCGTTGCCCAAAACTACACAGGTGATTGTAATATAGGTAGCCTATACATCACCTTTTGAAATGTAGTCCTCTAACCTCTTATGCTTAATTGAATCAAGTAAAGTGGAAATTGAATGGTCTTATTAAGGAGTCATAGTGTGATGCTGAATGGTTTAAAATTAAGAAAGGTGTGCGACAAACTTGTATTCTTTCACCATACTTATTCAACCTGTATGCTGAGCAAATAATCTTAGAAGCTGTGTTATATGAAGAAAAACGTGTCATCAGAACTGGAGGAAGATTCATTAACAACCTGCAATATGCAGATGATACAACCTTGCTTGTTGAAAGTGAAGAGGACTTAAAACATTTGCTGATGAAGATCAAAGAGCACAGCCTTCGGTATGGATTACATCTCAATGTCAAGGAAACAAAAATCCTCACCACTGGACCAATAAACAACATTCTTATCAACGGAGAAAAGATATGTTGTCAGGGACTTCATTCTTCTTGGATCAACTATCAACACTCGTGGAAGCAGCATCAAGAAATCAAATGACGTATTGCATTAGGCAAATGTGCTGCACAAGACCTTTTTAAAGTGTTGAAGAGCAAAGATGTCAGTTTGAGGACTAAGGTGCGCCTTACCCAAGCCATGGTATTTTCAGTAACCTCATATGCATGTGAAAGCTGGACAGTGAATAAGGAAGACTGTAGAAGAATTGATGCTTTTGAGTTATGGTGTTGGAGTAGAATATTGAAAGTGCCATGGGCTGCCCATGGAACCAATAGATCCGTTTTGGAAGAAGTACAACCAGAGTGATCCTTGGAGGCCAAGATGGCCAAACTTCATCTCTCATACTTCAGACAATATTATCAGGAGGGATCAGTCGCTGGAGAAGGACGTCATGTTTGGTAAGCTGGACGGTCAGAGAAAGAAAAGAAGACCCCCCTACAACATGGATTGGCCAAGTGGCAGCATCATTTGTCTCAAACGTGGCAACAGTAGTGAAGTTGGCCCAAGATCAGGCAGTGTTTCGCTCTGTTATGCATAGGGTCGCTATGAATCGGTACCGACTCAATGGCACTTAACAACAACAACAACAAGTGTGACGCTGTAGGATAAGCACTGTACCACTTATCAGTTTGTTTCATAGGCTGAATGGGTAAAGGAGAAACTGAATGGGTTGGTTTGAACCGAAAAATTGGCAGTTCAAACTCACCAGACACTCCTTGGAAAACCTGAGTCTCGATTCACTGGACAGCACTTAACAACAACAACATTAAGCATATAAGGTTTATACATTTGAGACGTAGAACCCCCACATGATTTTTTAAACAAAAAGTACAGGAATGATTTTCACCTATCAATACAATTGAAGGAAAATATCAACATATTTAAAAATAAAGCTACAACTTTCAAAATACTGTTTTATTCAGTTACAAATGATAATAATATAAATGTATAAAAGAATAGAAAAGAGTTACTTGAAAAGGTTCATGATAATATCTATGAGCACCATTTATTGATTGCTGTTACTGTTAAGTGCCATCGAGTCGGTTCCAACATAGTGACCCTGTGTAGGGTTTCCGAGGAGCGACTGGTGAGTTTGAACTGCTGATCTTGCAGTTCACACTGAGCTTGTAGTCCAGCGCATTAACCCGCAGCGCCATACTAGAACTCCTCATTTATTCATAAGTAGAAGAAAATAGAATAGCATTACCTCATGTTTAAATGGAGAATTCCTTTTATAATTATTAAAGAAATAAATATCATCAGATAAAAAATAGATGTATCTTATATGTTGTTGTTTTTGTTGTCAGGTCGGTTCTGACTCACAGCCACACTGCGTATGGTTTCTGAGGTTGTGAATCTTGGCAAAAGCAAAAAGCCTCATCTTTCTCCCGCAGAGACTGGCAGGCTCGGGCCACCAACCTTCTGGTTCCCAGTCCTGTGCATACCTTATAGAGTCAATTTTCTCCCTTATATAGAAAGATGTAGGGTCGCTATGGGTCGGAACCGACTCGACGGCACTTAACAACAACAACAATAGAAAGATGTGTCATTTTTTCAATATATATATAGTACATAGTACATATTTAAATATATCCTACTCTTCCTCCTTTACCCATTCAGCCTACGAATCAATCCATGTATCTACATACATACAGAACCCTGTTGTTCCAAGGTTGTATAGATATCACTATGTACCGTATCCCCTTTAGCCCTTGCATACCTCCCTAAAGTCTCACCTATCTTCATCATTATTCTGTCATCCTCCCTTTTCTTGTACATTTCATGCCCTATCACTTGAGCTAATCTGTGCCTACCCTCTAGCCAGTGAATTCCTCTCCCTTCCCTCCCACCTGTGATAACCATCAAAGAATGTTTCTTTTAGTATGCAAACCTTTTCTTTTTATATTAATGCTCTCTTATACTATTGTCCTTTTGTGATGGACTGATTTCACTCAGCATAATGTCCTCCAGGTTCATCCATGGTATGTGGTGTTTTGCAGATTCATTGTTATTCTTAAACGCTGCATAGTATTCCATTGTGTGCATGTATCAAAGTTTGTTTATCCATTCTTCAATGATGGGCATTTAAGCTGTTTTCTTCTTTTTGCTGTTGTGAATAGTGCCATGATAAACATCAGTGTGCATAGATCTACTGTTATCCTGACTCGCATTTTTTGTGGATGTATACCAAGTAGAGAGATTGCTGGATCATAAGATATTTCTATTTCTAACTTTCTGAGGAAGCTCCGTACCATTTTCCAGAGTGGTTGAACCATTTTACAGTCCCACCAGCAATTGTAGGAGGGTCCAAGTGTCTCCACACCCTCACCAACATTTATTGTTTTCTGTTATTTTGAATTTAGCTATTAATGTTGGTGTGAGATGATATACCTTTGCTGTTTTGATTTGCATCTCTAATGGCTAATGATTGTGAACACTTTCTCACATGTTTGTTGGCTGCTGGAATGTCCTTCCTGGTCAAGTGTCTGCTCATGTCCTGTGCCCATTTTTTAATTGGGTTGTCTTTTTTTGTAGAGGTGTTATTGTTGTTGTTGTTGTTGTCAGGTGCCATCAAGTCAGAACCGACTCATAGTGACCCCATGCACAGCAGAACAAAACAAAGTCCAATCCTGGGCCAACCTCACTACCGCTGCCACACTTGAGTCCATCAATGATGCCACCTGGCTGATCCATCTCATTTGGGGTCTTCCTCTCTTTCTCTTACCCTCCATCTTACCCAGCATGACATCCTTCTCTAGTGACTCTTTCCTCCTGACAATATGTCCAAAGTATGAGAGACGAAGTTTAGCCATCTTGGCCTCCAAGGAGCACTCTGACTGCACTTCTTCCAAAACAGATCTGTTGGTTCTTTTGGCAGTCCATGGCACTTTCAATATTCTCCTCCATGGCACTTTCAATATTCTCCTCCAACACCACAATTCAAAGGCATCAATTCTTATATGATCTTCCTTATTCACTGTCCAGCTTTCAAATCCATATGAAGTTATTGAAAATACCATGGCTTGGGTCAGGTGTACCTTAGTCCTCAAGCTGACATTCTTGCTGAGGTGTTACAGATTTCTATAAATGTTGGGTAGCAGTCCCTTGTCTGATATGTCATTGAAAAAAAAAATTTTTTTTTCAGTCCATGTGCTCCCTTTAGACTCTTTCAGCGAAATCTTTTGATACACACTGGTGGTTGGTGCTTATGTGCCATGGAGTTGGTTCTGACTCTTAGCGACCCTGTATAGGGTTTCTGAGGCCATAAATCTTTACAAGAACAGAAAGCCTCATCTTTCTCCCACAAAACAGCTGATAGTTTCGAACTGCTGACCTTGCAGTTCGCAGCCCGATTCGTAACCACTATGCTGCCAGAGCTCCATGATACACATTAAGTGTCTTGATACACATTAGGAGGTCCCAGTCATCTATTCTGTCTTCTGCAGTTTGTGTGTCTTTTTGTAATGTGTAATAGTATATTTATGCCGTGTATTAGAACCCTCCTACATTTGTCCCTATTTTTTCATTGATGATCTTCTTAGTTCAAGATTTTATATTTAGATCTTTAGTCCATGTTGAGTTTGTTTTTGTATATGATGTGAGGTATGGGCCTTGTTTCATTCTTCTGCAAATGGATTTCCAGTTTTGCCAGCACCATTTGTTGAAGAGACTATCTCTTCCCCATTTAATGTGTTTTGGCTCCTTGTCAAAGATCACTTGACTATATGTGGATGGATTTACTTCTGGATTCCCAATTCTGTTTCATTTATCTATCTATCTATCATTGTACCATTACCAGGCCATTTTGACCACTGTAACTTTGCAATAGAATTTGATATGAGGGAATGCGAGGTCTCCAACTTTGTTCTTTTGTCTTAAGTAATACTTTGCTTATCTGAAGTCTCTTTCCTTTGCATATAAAGTTAGTGTTCAAGTTATCCATCTTTTTAAATAATGATGTTGGAATCTGGGTTGAGATTACATTATATATAAAGATTGCTTTAGATGGAGTTGACATTTTCACAATGTTAAGTTTTCCTATCCATGGCCATGGTATATTCTTCCATTTTTTGTAAGTCTCTTTTTTTGGTAAGTTATAGGTCTGTTGAAATTTTCTACTTCATTCTGTGTCAATTTATGTAGGCCTTTTTTTCTAAAAATTGATACATTTCTTAAAGATTTTCAAATTTGTTGTAATATAATTCTTCATAGTATTCTGTTATTATTCTTAATTTGCATTGGATCTGTTTTAACATCACACATAATTTCTCAGGCAAGTAATTTGCATCTCCTCCTTCTTTTGTTAGATTTGCCATGATTTGTCAATTTTATTAATCCTTTTTAAAAAACGTCTTCTTGTCGATTATTTCTATTGTTTTCCTATTTCATTTATTTCTGTTCCTGTCTTTATTATTTCTTTTTTTCTTCTGGATTTCTATTTGCAGTTTTATATTATCTCCAATTCTTTCTGTTTTGTTTGTTTGTTCCTGTATTGTTTTCCTGAATTATTCCTTGTTTTCCTCCTCCTTTCTGTCAATAATTTGGAGTTACATTCTCTTAAATTCTTTTTCAGATGGTTACAATGCTTGTTCCCCCTCAACAAACACTTTCTCTGTTTTTTGGTCACTTGTTTGAGCCACTCTGTCTGGTTTCTTCATGTGAACAGCAATTATCTGTTGCTTCCAAGACATTGTGATGTGTGTTATTTGTATAAAATGATGAGTGGATGTTTGTCTAGTCTTTGACACTCACCAACTGGTTCCTGTTGGGTGTGATTAGGGGATATGCACCATTCTCTCTCTGCTTTTTGTGCAGCTCAGGTTAGCATGGGTTTGGCTAATGCTGGTTGTTGCCCTGATGGGTGCCGTTGTAGAGGGTACAGTCATGGCTGGGCTGTATGGGCACAGTTGCTGTCACATCTGATTGGCCAACACAGGTCATCATTCTGTCTCCTGTTTTTGCTGTGTCTGTTCAGCTTCCTTGCCTAGTAAGCATTCAGTTCTCTTCGCTAGCCTTTCAGCCAAAGCTCAGGTTCCAGAACTATCATCTGCATCTGTTTCATTGGTTTTCCTTTCTTTGTTGTAGAGGATCTTTATAGCAATACTAGTCTGCCATTTTGCTGCTTCCCCAAATATTTTAAATGTTGAACTAGAGATAGCAAGTCACATGAAAAAAATCCATAATTTACTAACAACTTAACAAATAATTTTAAAGTATTTAATGTTATTCATATTAGAAATGACAAAATATTAGAAATGACACATATAGAAAGTTAAGGTATGCATACTCTTTATATTGCTAATGATGCTGAACATCTTTTCCTTCTCCTTAGAGCTTTATGGTGACTTATATAACACAATGAAACCATTTTTTTAATCACCAGGACCTAGCTCACTTTATTTATGTTGTTTTGGCCTTTTATGGTCCTTGAAATGTAATGATATCTGACTGGACGATATTTCTCATACAGCATGTATAATGTCATTAAAATAAGTCATGTCAAGTTCATGAACATGTTAAAAATAAAAGTAACTGTCACAAACTTTAAAATCATAGAGCATTCGAGTATTCCCCCCAGAATGTTTCACTTGTCTTCATGCCATCACTATCCACATAAAAAAAGGGGAGCAGGAGAAGTTGTTAATTCATCTTATAACTTCACAAGGAGGAAAATGAGGTTCATAATAAATAATTCCCTCCCCACAAAAAGAACAGTTTTGTTGTAATTTATGTAAGCCGGCTTAGCTGTTTATATATATTAACTGCTGTGGTGTTGTAGGAGAAGCATTGGACTGATAACTGCAAAGTTGGCAGTTCAAACTACCATCCACTCCTTAGAACCTTATACAGTGTTGCTATGAATCAAAACAAGGAGCTCTGGCAGTGTAGTGGTTACAAATAGGGCTACTAATCTTACGGTCAGCTAATCAAAACTACCAGCTGTTCCGCGGGAGAAAGATGAGGCTTTTGGCTCCCGTAAAGATATACAGCCTCGGAAACCCTGTACAGGGTCTCTATGAGTCAGAACCGACTCCACGGCACATAATAATCAAAACAGACTTGACGCCACTTAACAGCAACTAGTTAATGTATTGATATTATACTGAAGAAAGAAAGCACAAATGGTCAGGGCATTTAAAAATATATAAGTAAGAATTAAATGTATTTTGAGTCAGTAATTCTTTTAATAACAAGCAATTCTTTTAGTAACAATAGCTCAGCAAAAGAAAGAAAAATTCAAAGTAGCATCAATAATATTTGATACTTACAAATAATTAAAATGCCTAATAATAGAATGGCTAAGTTGCCTAGTATATATAAATAATAGAAAATTATAGCTAGAACTGTTTATAAAAAGAAAATGGAAAAAATCAGAATATAACCTACAATGAAAGACTGATTATATCACATATATGTTACAAATGAATATAATTCACATAGAGCAGAGTATTTGAAGGAATTTTATCTTTTATAGTATTTACAGTAGATGTTAATAGATGTAATAGATGTAAAAGTAGATGTTAATAGACAGTATACTAAATGATTGAGGTGGGCAGGCTTCTTGGCTTAAAGAAGTTTGAAAATCCATGGGTTTGACAAAGTTAAACAATTTTCTTTACTCCAGGAGCTCTGTTCTAATATGCAGTGAATCTGCATTTGGGGATGGGACAGACAGTGTTATCAACACTCATGAAACACATCTTAAGGAATATTCATAAATCACTTTTTCATCAAGGGAAAAGAAAAAAACTTCAGATTGCTAAAAGAAGTTCATTTTTTAAATGTTTTGACCTTTTATTTATTTATTTTTTAAATGGAAGCTTACTAAACATCTGCAGCTTTTATGAGTATCCAAAATGCCAAAAACTCTTTGTTTTAGTTGCTTGATATCAATAAAAAAAAGGAGCTCTCGGGGCAACAGTGGTTTGGCGCTTAGCTGTTGACCCTAAGGTTGGAAGTTCAAGACTATCAGCTGCTCCATGGGAGAAAGATATGGCAGTTTGCTTCTGTAAGAGTCCAGCCTTGGAAATGGTCACTATGAGCTGGAATTGACTTGAGGGTAGTGGTTGGAACCTTGAGAGCTGCTGTATTTCCCATGTGAAATGTTTTATATCTGACAGTAACGCCCGATGAGTGTGTGTGTTCTGTGGTGTTCTAGTTCTTTCTGCTTAGAAAGAGTTCCCTTTGTGTTTGCCTTTTCTAGGAAATAGATTATGAAGAAATGAAGAATCTTGATTTCAGTATTATTGTCACTAATAAAGCAGCATTCCACAAATCAGTTAAGAATAAATACAAGCCTACATCCATTCCTATCAAAGTCAAGGTGACAAACGTGCAAGAAGGCATTCATTTTAAAAGCAACACAGTCACGTTTTCTGCTAGCGAGAGCACAGATAGATCAAGCGTAGGCAGAATCTTTGGAAAATTTCAAGCTTTTGATGAAGATACTGGAAAAGCGGCCCGTGTAAGGTAAGAGAGCATTTTTCTCAGCAATCACTATAAAATTTGAACATTTCATTCCTTCATATCCCAGGATTATAATTCTCCAAAGGTCTATAGCTTAAACTTTCCTGACATGTTGTACCTGTAACTGCAGGGAGGAATTTTTACCACCTGGTATGGTGCTGTAGGATTCAGCACTGAACCTCAAGGTCTTTTTGAACTACAAGGTCGGCAGTTCAAACTCAGCATTTCCTCAGAAACCCTATACAGAGTTGCTATGAGTGGGAACTGACTTGATGGCATTTAACAATAGTAGCATTTTTATTTAAGCTGTGTTCTTATTTTAGGGACAGATGAACCTTTTATAATGTTTATCTTGATCACAATGTCCATTTTCTTTTTCTTTAAAATATATTTAATGAGAACTTACTATTTGCCTCACTGTACTAGAAAGGAGGTCTCTGGGTAGCACATATGGTTTGCACTTGGCTTCTAAGTGAAAGATTGGCACTGTGCAACCACACAGCAGTCAGAAAACAGACCTAGTGACTGATTTCTCTAAGATTACAGCCATTCATTGAAATCTCTGTTTGAATGCAATTCTACTCTGATACGCAAGGGGTCACCATGAGTTGGAATCAACGTATTAGCAACTGTTTGGTTTTTGGTTTTGGTGATAGAAAGGATAGTTCCTAGATAGCCATTCTGATACAAATCATCTATAGTGACCCCTTAGATTTGCATGATTCTTTTACATTTTCAAAGTAAATTTGCACCTTAGATCTGAGTGACTTGCCAGGGAAAGACTATTGTCTACAAAGTTCTCACTGCAATTATTTCACCTTGCAGAGTCACCTGCATATGTTCCAGTAGAATCTTTACCTGCTGCCCCAGACACATAGTGTGTATAGGGTTTCTGAGAGTTTAAATCAATGCAGAAGCACAAAGCTTCATCTTTCTCCTGCTAAACCACTGGTGGGCTCGAACTAGGGATCCTGAGGTTTGCAGTGTTCTGCTTACCCCATTAGTAGTTGTGAATACATCAAAAGATCATGTGTTCTGCCTGGAGGAATAATAAATCATACCTTCTTCTCAAAAAGGAAATTTTGATTTTTTAGTATAACTTACAAAACTTTAGAATGAGAAAGGTGTTTAGCATAACCATCATAGATTATTTCATTTATTGAGAAAACATTTTCTTAACTTTTTGCAACGTTGTCAGATACAATGTTTGTCCTTTTGTGAAAATGACTAATTTCACTCAGCATAATGTCTTCCAGGAGTCCTGGTGTGGCACAGTGGAGTAATGTGCTACGCTGCAGAGTCAGTTTGAACCACAAGGTCGGTGGTTCAATCTTAACCAGCTGCTCCTGATTATTCTTCTAGCTTACTAGTATTGAGAGATTTATCTTCAAATTCACTAATTCAGGCTTCAATTGCTTTGAATATATTCCTTTACCCTTTCAGTGTATTGCCTATTTCTGAAATCTTAGTGTAATCATCTGGATTTCTAATTTCAGGTTTTGAATTGTTTCAAAATTTGCATTTATTCTGAATCCTTCTAAAGTTTTTTTTTGTGTGTGTTCTCTTTGTTTTCCTCAATCTTTTTTTGCCAGTCCTTTGAAAGTACATAAGTATCATTCTTCTGGATTTTTTAAAAATTTCATTACCTTTTCTTCCCCAAGATGTTTTCTGTCTCTGCATCTTATTCATGTATTTGAGCCATTTCTCTCTTGTTGCTTTGTGTTAGCTAAAATTGTCAGCTGTCTCAGGGGCATTATGGGATTTTTGTATTTATTTTCAATTAATGATTGTGTGTTGCTGTGTTCTTAGGCTCTCACCAACTGTCTCCTGTGGTAGGTGTATTTAGAGAATGGAAGCGTGTACACCATTGTCTGTTGCCTTTCTTGCACCTGAGTTTATAGTGGTTTGGACCGTTGTTGGCTGCTGTCTATCTTTTGCCCAGGGGGTAGAGCTGCAGAGAGTATGGTGATGGCTGGCCTGTATGGGCACAGTTGCTGTCTCCTGTTGGGTGAAAAAGAGAAAAGCCCTCACTCTCACACACACTCATGAAAACAAAACCAAATAAACAAACAAGGAACCAACAGTGAAAGGAGAAAAATAATTAAAACAGGCAGCAACCGGATAAAAAGAATATAATAACTATAAATATAAAAGAGAAAGGGAATGGGAGCTATGGAATATAAAATAAAAAGAAGAAATTTTTTAAAAGCACATAAGAATAGCTATAAAGAGAAAAGGACAGGAAAATGGAGCTATAAAAGAGAAAAATAAGAGAGGAAATTAAAGGAAGAAATTAAAAAAAAATAAACTTAGAAAAACAGGAAAAGGGAAGATGCAAAGAGAGTACACAGTAGTAAAGAAAGATCAAAAGGGGAAAAAAGAAGATGTGAAGTGTGAAGCAGAAGAAACGAAGGAAAAACAAAAGCCAAGCTAAAAAGGCTAAAATTCAAGGGGATGGAAAGAGAAGAAGGAGAAAGAATAAACAAAGAAAGACAATGAAACAACCAAAGGAAAAACAAACAAGAAAAGCAACAGTGCCGCTGATGGTCTTGGAGAGGAGAAAGCTGTCAGGGCTTCTACAAGCCAAGGAGCTCAGGAGGTGGGCGTGGGAAGGATGTGACAGCAGAGTTCCAGCTCCTAGATGGAGTCATATTGGCCTCAGAGTTATCTAGGTTCAGGGCACTCAATCCAGAAGTAATTCATGGAGATCCCTGATGCAGCTGATTTCAGTGTCTGTTAGGACCACAGGGCAGCTGGGGATAGGGTGACTGATTAAATGCTGGTCTGGTGGCTCTGTGGGTTTTATATGTCTGGAGCCAGGCCCACCAGAATCCAGGCACCAAAGCAGCACATCAATCAAAGGTTCACCTCTCAGTCTCCCTCTCATGCTGTCCCTGCTCAGCGTCTCCTCCCAGCAAGCACTCAATCCACTGCTCTAACTTCTCTTCTGAAGTCCAGTGTTCCAGAATTTTCATCTGTGTCTCTTTCATTTGGTCTCTCATATCTTTGTTGTAAAGGGTCCGTGTAGTGCGTCTTGCTTGTCAGCCATCTTGCCAGAAGCCTCATTGGTGTCTATTTTTTAATAAAAGAGAACAGTTAGAATACTCTTTAAAGAGCTCACAAAACATCTTATTGTGAAATGGAGCTGTATTAATACAGCATTGTTTTTATTTTAAGCATGAATGTAAAAAGCCATTGATGGCAACTAAGTCCAAGGTTTAGAATTCCAGACATGAAACAGAATATATGTGAAAACCCAAATACTTTATCACTTACTGGTAGGAATATTAAAAATTAGAACAAAACTATTTTGAATGTATAATTGATATTTTTTTAATGGCACTATAAAATATTGTTCTAAAAAAGACACTTCTTAGATTATAATTTATCCGTTTGATTTATTGAACCAAGTTCTCCATATAGTATCTGGTCACATTTTGGGCTCAATGGTATTTGATTACAACCATTCCTGATCCATCATCTGAATATTCATGCTTTCCCATAGCTTTCTCTGTCCACCCTTATTCTCCTTGCTTTGAAGGAAGCCAAAAATCACTTTATCTACACTGTTTTCACTTTTAACCAATTCCGCCTTAAAGAAGGAGTCCTGATGTGGCTCTGTGGACTAATGTGCTGGATTGCAAAGTCAGTTTGAACCACAAGGTCACCAGTTCAAGCTCACCGTCTGCTCCTTGGCAACCTATACAGGGTCATTATGGATCAGAACCAACTCGATGGCACTTAGCAACAACAGCCTTAAAGAAACCATGCTTCCATTTAAGGCAGTCACTGATTTTTACAGTTGAGACTTAAAAATGTTGACAGTGTTCCTAATAAATGATAGCATGTAAGACTTATCTCCACCAGTTTTTGTCATGTACTCGCTAAAGTTCTCCACATTTATGGAAGACTAGACCAAAGCTACTGGTCAGAGCAGCTTACAGACTCCTGGGTTAGTAGGCCCAGAGTGGTCACCCTTGCTTTATTTAATATGTTCCAGAACTAGAGAAAGCACCAAACTAAGTGTGAAATGCAGTAAAGAGGAAAGGCTTTTAGGATGTCTTCAGGAAATTAAAGCATTCAAGATTAATGCCCATAGCAAGATCATAAAGAGGAAAAAATTAAGTCTGAAACAGTTGTGATTCCCAATTTATCTTAAATTCAGAACTAATTTTCTGCTTGCTTTATAACAGATATGAAATAGTGGATGATAAAGAAAACTGGATCTCTGTAGATCGTTTTACGTCTGAAATTAAACTTGTAAAAATTCCTGACTTTGAATCCAAATATGTCATAAATGGAACATATATTACAAAAATGGTGGCTATAGCAGAAGGTAAGTCATCAAATTGGTATCTTTTTTCTTGGTTATATGTATTTAGATATTATTTTCCAGCATCTGAGAGTTTCTTTGGATCTTGTCTCAAAAACAAATCTCTCCAAAGGGTAAGCTTTCACATTTCTATTTATTTAGTCAGTTAGTAAGCATTACTTGATCTAACTGTGAAAACATATTTGTATAAGCATTATCATCATTTGTAAGTACTTTCTTAAAAAATGTTAACTATGTCCATTGTCAGCAATATGACCGGAACTTACTTTTTTTTCAGGCCACCCTAGTAAAACCATCACTGGTACCATCGTTGTCAAGATTGAAGACGTCAATGATAATTGTCCCAAACTGGTGAACCCAGTGCAGACTGTCTGTGATGACGTGCCTTATGTGAATGTTACTGCCAAGGACCTGGATGGACAACACAATAGTGTGCCTTTTAGTTTCTCTGTCATTAACAAACCACCTGGAGTGGCAGAAAAATGGAAAATAATACAACAAGACAGTAAGCAAAATCTTTGGTCTTCATTAAAATCTAAGTATTAATCATGATGTTGATAAGTACAGTTCAGTTAGTATAGCGCTTCTGAGGAGCAGCTGGTGAGTTTGAACTGCCGACCTTGTGGTTGCACTCCAAGCCTTGCCCTACAGCACCACACCACAAACCTATGAATCATATAGATATTTAAAAGTCTTTATAACATAAGCTTCTATGTTTTTTCTCAAAAATTAAATTCCCTGTATAACCACTTCACTACCAGGGCTCCTTATAAAAGTTTATTACATAAAATTCTAAGCCTACAGACATGGTGGTTATGTGCCGTGGAGTCGGTTCTGACTCACAGCTACCCTGTATAGGATTTCCAAGGCTGTAAATCTTTATGGGAGCAGAAAGCCTCATCTTTCCCGTGGAGTGGCTAGTAGACTTGAACTGCTGGCCTTGTGGTTAGCAGCTCCGTTTATAATCCACTACACTACCAGAGCTCTTCAAGCTTACAGGCATAGTACTTTTAATCTGTGTATAATAAATACCCCATTTGAAATAGCAGAAGAAGAAAAAAATAATCAAAAGTGTTGAAGGTAGATAAGTGTCCTCCAAATAGCTCTTGTAGTAGTTGTTTTGGCTCTTCAGTTGAGGAGTAATATGCCTTTGTAAGCACAATAGTCTTAGTGGTTACCTCTGGAAATCCTGAGTATGGTGATAGTAATTTCATTTATTGAGTGTGCACTGTGCTAGCACTTCACATGCATTATCTCATTTAATTCTTACCCATAATATTTCTCTCTAAGGAAACCAAGGTAAAGTAACTTGTTCAAAGTCACCAAAGCTATCAAGTGGTAGAGATAGACTTTGAAGACTATCTGTCTAGAGGCAAATACATAATCTTTCAGTAATGGTGATCTATGAATGAAGAGACACACAGACTGAATGGATGTGGGAGGGATGGTGGGACTATACTCAAGACTATATATAGTTTTGATAGGCTATTTCTACATGTAAATTTACCTATAATGCAAGCACATCCATAAATGTGGTAGAACATACTGGGGCAAATTTATGAAAACTTCTTAGAATTAACCAAACACCATGAGGGAATGACTTATGGGACATGGAGGCTCAGGACTATGGTCTTGGGGGACACCAACATCAATTTTCATAGCCTCGCCCTTTGAGCAGCTGTCTAAGGTGCAACTATCAAACTCTGCCTGTCTGGAGAAAAGAATATTGAAGGCACATGGAAATAATTAGTCCAGTGGACTAATGGACCGTGCAAAAATCAGCCTCCATGACCCTGAACCAGAGCTAGATGATGTCCGGTTAGCTGTTACTACCAACTGCTCTGTAGGATAACATTAGAAAGTCCTTGATAGAGGGACAAAAATATGACATATAACTCAAAAGCATACAAAAGGCCAGACTTACTGGTCAGATGGAAAGTGTTGGAACCCTAACTTTATGGCCCTTAGTTACTTGTCAGGTCTGGAAACCAACTCTCTCCCATGACTCAATTCTCAGCTAAACAACAGATAAGTCTGAGGGGGAGCAGTAACACCAGGAGGTATGAATTCCAACTGTTTGAACTCAAAAGGGTGGCAGTTCCAAGAACAAAGTTCAGAAGGGTTAGGAAAGAAGGAAGAATGGGAACAGAAATCAGGAAATGGGATCAGTGGTGCTACATTGTGGGGATTGCAATCAAGGAGATGAGTCAACATGTGTGTGAATTGTTGAATGAAAAACTGATTTGCTCTGTAAACCGTCACTGGATTCAGAATAGTGGTTTTCATATGCTGAAAAGTCTATCCAGAAAATGGCTTATTTCAAACAATTAGTGTTTATTTTAGTTATGTTTTGATTTAAAACCCAAGTCTTTCTTCATTTACAGATATATTACTTTTCAGTCTAGCAAAATTTTACAATCACTTCAAGAGGCTTTTTGTAATATTTGGTCTAATTTATAAAAATAACATTTTTAGCATTTCAAACTGCACTTACCAATTTTACATACTTCACTTCCTTTTTAAGTGTGAGGGAGAATCAAAAGTTATTTTGCACTTTGGTTATATTAAAATACCCCTCCACGTCCACGACTGATGACAACATTGAGCGTGCACGTGAAATGATTCTGCCAAATAAACGAGTGCCAGTGGATTATGTGGCAAATCATTTGCAAATCAGCCATGGCTCTGCCTATGAAGTAAGCTACAACAGACCTACGTTTCAAAAAGGTTGTGTAAGATGGGTGCCAAAACAACTCACAGAAGAGCATAAACAAAAGCGTTTGGACACTTGCAAACAAAATTTGGACCAATACTCGAAAAAAGATTAACAATTCTTAAAATAAATAGTTACTGATGATGATACATGGATTCATCACTGTGAGCCTGAGAGTAAATGGCAAAGTATGGATTGGAAATATCCTCAATCATCAACCAAGAAAAAGTTCAAAAGTCATCCATCATCTGGAAAACTGATACTTGGCAGTTTTCTGGGATTCTCAAGGGTCAGTATTGGAACTCAATTAGGAAAAAGTTCAAGAATCAACAGCGCCCCTTACAGTGAGATGCCTACGGAAGAGCTGAAGCCTAAACTTCAAATGAAACAAAAGGGCCTGGTGATCTTGCATCATATCTCCACACATCTGCTCACACTTTTGATACTGCAAAAATTGCATTTTGAGGTGTTAAAGGATCCTCCCTATAGTCCTGATCTTGCTCCATCACACTTTCACTTGTTTGGTTGCCTGAAAGCAACCCTTAGAGGACAAAGATTCATCCGTGATGAAGAAATGAAGACAGCAGTGCATTCATGCCTCACAGCTCAGGCTAAAACATTTCTTAATAAGGGAACACAAAAGTTATTGACAGGTGGACAAAGTGTATTGAAAAATAAGATGATTATGTCAAAAAATGATGTATTTGTCTTTTCTAAAAGTTGATTAAATTCTACAGCCAGAGTGCACATAATTTTTACTCATCCATGTATTTCAGCTCTCTGAATTAATAAGTCAAGCCTTCTTATAATCCTTATATAGTGCAAATAATTTAAATTGATAAATTTATTGAAACTGAAATTTCCTTTAGTCTTCTAATCCTGCAGAAACTATTGCTATTTCAACCTTAAGACCACAAATGTAAATCAGCTGCAGAATTGCCCGTTTTAATTTGAAATTACAAAACCGTCTCACTAGTAGTGCTAGGTTTCTTGTAAGGATTACAAATATAGAAAACAATACAGTAGAATCCGTCGAATAGAAGAATATATTAAAAGGATGCCCTTGATTTGTTTAAGTATTCTTTACGTTGTTGTTGTTAAGTGCCATTGACTCAATTCTGACCCATAGCGACCTTGTATAGAGTTTCCAAGCATTCCTTATATATACTTAATTTTAAATCTTCGTAGAGGTTTTGTACTCACTCAAAGACCGGCATACCCTCAGCTAGCCCAAGTTGGCTCCCCACTAAAGATGAGTTACCATGGTGACTAAAATTACTTACCATCGGGTTTCAGCTGGCAAAAGCCCTAGGATGGCAGTTATCCAGACAGTGTTTCTTACCACATTCTCTCCTGGGAATTAAATCACAGACTTGATTGATGGCCTTCCTCACAGTGTCTAATTCTGTACTGAGGGAATTTGGAGATTCCCACCGAGGCTAAAGTCTTGATAGGAATTTGCCTTTCTTTTGACTAAACTTACTGGTACTCTTAAGACATATCTATTTTCTCTAACAAATGTAATATTTAGAATGTGCCATATACTTTATTAATACTAAAAAACAAATAAAAAACAAAAGTTTCTGTTGAGTCCTCCCCAACTCATGGTGACGCCTCATCCTAAAAATTTGATACTACTAGTATTAACATTTTACAGATAAGGAAATGAAGACACAGAGAATTTTACTAACGTTCTCCAGGTCAAAGCTATTAAAGGACTGGAGTCCGGATTTGAACCCAAGCCATCTGGCTCTGGATTCTGTCTCTACCTTTATGTTATGCCAGTTCTCCAAATAAATACATTGGGTTTTTTTTTTTTTTTCTATTTAAGGGTAATAATGTTAGGACTTGATGAGGTCTTGATTTTTTTTTTTTTTTTTACTATATTTCTAGTGCATAGAACAATTCCAGCATTTGGTAAGCAGCACACATTTATTAATATGAATCCTCATACAACTAAGATGTCCAAATGTGATTCTTTTCTATTACACTGCATATTTTAGGTTTATGGACTAATTTAATCTGCACACAGTGTACTTCCAATAGACAAATTAAGGAAGAATAAAACGTCTAAATGGAGCGGAGTATGAGTAGCAAACACTGCTGCTTTTTCATTTCACCTCTTCCTTGATGATCACTCATTTTTATTTCTTTTTTCCTCCCATTCTTACAGGTACCAGTATTCTGCTACAACCAAGTCAACGGAAGCTTGAGCCAAGTGAAATCGAATTCCTGATTAAAGACGTGCAAGGTTTAAGTTGCCAGGAAAGGCAGATCCTTAAACTCAGAGTCTGTACGTGTCTGGATGGCAGTGGCTGTGTGGAAGCACTACGGGACTCCTATGTGGGCCTGGGGCCCTCAGCAGTTGCACTCATAATTTTGGCTCTTCTGCTCTTGCTACGTAAGTATTTAAGGGGGTAAAAAAACATTTTCCATTTCTTTTAATAGTGTAAGTGCACTACTACATTAGTTATTCATTGCTTTACACTCTAACTAAACACTCAAATTGTTTTCAGTGTAAAGAAAGACTGTTGGAAGGATTTTGACCCTGGAGATAAGACTCTTGTATAAACTCAGCGTCTTCCAGTTAATCATTGCTTTGCACACTCAACTTGGCACAGCCAGCTTCCCCATACCCTTTCTTGGCTTGCCTCTTCTTCAATGCCAACAGTAGCTGAACCCTCTCAGTGCATCTGTGTTTCTATGACAAACTATTCCTATATGTCCTGCCTTCTCCATATACCGTCCAAAGACCTCAGGTTTCCTTTCATGAAAGACCAAGGAACTATAACTTGAGGTTGTGTAGAAGGAGTACCATTCCACTTAACAACTGAACATGGAAAAGGACAACCTCTGAAAGTGCCCAGGCTATTTCATGTCAGAGAAGGGGTCTTGTAAATTGAATACATAGCACTTCACAGTTTACAATATATTTTGATACTATTAGCTCCATTTTATGGATAAGAAAGCATAACTTATCTCTGTTTATCAAACTAGGAACCTTGGTAACGCTGTAGGATGAGAACTGGACTCCTGACTAGATTGTATGATTGGTAGTTCAAATCCACCAGCCTATCCACAGGAGGAAAGGGAGGCTTTCTGCATCCCTAAAGATTTACAGTCTCAGAATCCCTATACCAGGTCACTGTGGGTCAGAATCGACTCAATGGGCAGTGGGATTTAGAGCCTACCTGGATCTCCTGCCCACAGATTCCTTGAACTGTCCTCTCACATAAGACTCTGCAGGGCCCAGTGTAGCACTCGACACATAACAGACGCTTCACTTGGTAAATATTTGTTGGAATGCATTACCATGAATGATTTCTGTCTTTTTATTACTCACAGTAGATGTAGTTACTGTACCGCCATCTGTCTTACATTAAAAGGGATCCAGAGGGGAGACAAGTTAGCTTTGGTGGTGGTGGTGTGCCGTGGAGTCAGTTCCAACTCATACCGACCCTGTATAAGGTTTCTGAGGGAGCAGAAAGCCTCATCTTTCTCCCGCGAAGCAGCTGGTAGTTTCAAACTGCTGACCTTGAGGTTAGCAGCCCAACTCATAACCACTACGCTACCAGAGCTCCTAAACTCATCTTTGGAAGCTATCAAATGGAAGTAGCAATAAGAGCTACTGTGAATTGACTGCTTCAGATGTGATTACTTTTTCTTGGTGAAATTATAGAGGAAAATATACAACAGTTCAACAACGTCCGCATGTACATTACAATCCCATTGATTGTATTCTTCAAGCTGTGCACGGTGTGGCTAATTCTTTCTTGCACTGATCGAGGGAAGGGTTGGCTTTTCCCTTACTCCTGGGATAGCAAGAAATTGAAGGATGAGAACTTTGAAATTTTATTGAACTCTAAATAAAATGTTATATATGATCTAAGGTTTGTTCTTTTTTCAATGTAGAATCATTTCAGAAAACTGTAATTAGGTAATTCAAAGGTTAGGACCTAAGAGAGGGCCTGCCTTATGCTTAATTCCAGTCTGGAGTGAAGTATTATTAGAAATTCCAGTGTTCTGGAATATTTGAGTAAATTAAGATTTTTCAACCTTTTATTGTTGTTAGGGTGCCATCGAGTCAACCTTTAAGGAATTTTAAATCTTTCATACATATGTTCTCTGACAATGATTTTTATGAAATTAAAAAGTTTCATAGAACAAAAAGCATATAAAGTCTTTAGGTTAGTTTTGATGACTTGGATGCCACCTAAACCACTCACGGTGCTCCACCCAGTAACGATGAGCAGCTTCTTTTTTATTAACTCAATGTTTTGAACCTGCAAAGCCTCTCCTCCTACCTACAGACTTTGGTATGTCTCACCCAAAGTAAGCTTAGGGAGATTGGGTCATGATGAAGAAAAGAAAAATATGCCTGTAAATAACTGAAGACTGAACTCCTGGAAGTGATATGCAGATTCAAAAATGATGCCATATAAATTTAGAAATATGTGGGGACTAACTTTCTCTGAACTCGGTTTTGTTTCCTACCTAGTTGTGCCCCTCTTATTGCTGATGTGCCATCATGGAGAGGGAGCCAAAGGCTTTGCCCCCATCTCTGCTACTATAGAAATGCTGCATCCTTGGAACAATGAAGGAGCCCCCCCTGAGGACAAGGTCAGTTTCTCAGATAGCAATGTGGCGTGTCTTCTTTCAGGATTTTGAAGCAGCCATGGGAAATGTTTCTAACATTTTAGGGCATGAGAGAGTCAAGTGGCCATTATGGATTTTATTCAAATGCTTTGGTTAAACAAAAAGTTTAACTGGCATCTTATTTTGTTTTTATTGCCAGGGCAAAGCTAAGATGTTTTAACTGAGTTACAGGGAATGTACAGCAAGGGTCAAGGGGTGACAGATTTACTAGAGTGTATAAAGATTTAGGATTTAAAAAACTGTGCCCCAAAATTAAATGGGCAGTCTTGTACAACCAGGCACAACGTATTTTCCATTCCCTTCCATGTGTAGAATTGACAGAGGTGAGCTCAGTCAACAGCCACCATGGCATTTGTAAAATGTTTCAAAATCCTCTCCTCCCAACCTCCTCCTCATCTCCTGTCATCTCTATTGATTCTGCAACATTCCATTTCCATGAGCGTCACTTCCAGTAGGATATAAATTTAGCTCCAAAGTTTCGGAAACTTCTGTATAACGGTGGCTTAAATGTAAACTTGATCATTCCAGTACCAACAAGAGGATTCCTCCACAATGTAGCACCAAGATCCTCCTTTCTGGTTATTCCTTCATGGACGAGCTCATTCCTATACTGCCGTCCTGCTTCAGTCACTATGCTCATAGTCCAGCCAGCAGATAGGAGAAAAGTAAAGGAGACAGCACTTTATGAGCGTTTCCCAGACACCATATCTACTTATATCTCATTGACCAGAACTGAATCACCTGAGTATATCTAGTAGCAATGGAAACTTGGAAATCTTTATTTTAGGCAGCAGTGTATCAGTTTTTTTGTTGTGTGTGTGTGTGTGTGTTTGTTTTTTTAAGTATTATAATCACAGAAAATAGTGTCCTGCCCTGGAAAAGAACAAAAAATGCTATTGGTCCTAGTGGAGTAAATGAGCTAAGACCACATTTGAATGCTTCTTTGTTTTCTTGAGCTATCATTAGCTCTGAAACTAGAAGGCAGAATGGAGATCTGATGAATTAAATACAAGGAGACTTCAAAAACAGTTCATGGAAAAATGGAATTAAAAGATAATGAATTTTTTTCACAACCTTTTTGAAGTTGTGCAATCCAAAATACTCTTCTTGATTTGACCCTAAAGAAACAGCCATCCTTCTGATGCCCACTTAGCTCGTATCCTTTTACTAACCGTGCCTCTCCATCCTCTGACTCACTTCTCAAATGTGTTTGCTCTCACAGGCAGTTCCAGAGCTTCTGGCAGCAGATCAAGGGGAAAATCTAGCAGTGGGAAATGGAATCGGGGCTTCATTAACCAAGGAATCCTCTGTGAAAGGATTTAGTTCTGCCTTCTTTACCAAAGGGGTACACGAGATGTCTGAGATGGATGGAAGATGGGAAGACCACAGAAGTCTTTCTGGTGGGGCAACTCAGGTCACAAGGACAACAGGAGCTGCCATAGGCTCTCAGACCATAAGGACCACAGGAACGACGGGGCTTACCAGAGACATAGCCGGAGCCCGAACTAATGCCACTGTGGTCAACGAGCAGTACTTAAGAAATTATTTCACAGAAGTAAGGATGGGTTTTTTTTCTGTGTGAGGAAAAAACATTTGCGTGTGAATGTGGTATCATTAGGGCAGTCGTGACCTTGGGTCTAAATGAGACTCTTTGTTTTAAGAGAACATAATGACTTAGAATCCACCCAGTAGAAACTGGTTTTATTGTTTGCTTATTTGTCTTGGGTTGCCTTTTTTTAATGAAGTAAAGGATATCTGACCCATTGAATCAGTCAGCTAGAGTATGTGATGACAAAAAATTAGACTAAAACCTGAGGTTTCTTACAAAGGCTTATTTCCTCCCTTACACTTATGTTTTTGCCTTTCAAGTCAGCTCCACCCTGCCCCATCTTATCTTAATTCCAAGAGCAGATTGTATCTGGAAGCTTCCATCTTGAGCCATAGAGAAAGGAGTGATCGCAGAAGTAGGCAGTTGCCCTTAAAGTTTCAGCCCGTTGATGCCTCCATTTCATTGACCACAGCAAGTCACATTAGGGGGTACCCTAATGTCGATGGTTCTGAAAATATAATCCTTCTGCAGTAAGAGACTTGATCAGGATGGGCCCAGCAGGGAGAGGTAGAGAATAAATGATCTCAAAACCATAATCTAATACACCCATGTACATTTTGGCTTCACTGTTGAGATGTTGTTTGTTGTTGCTAAGTGCCATCGATAGTTCACAAAAAAATTATCAGGAAAGATAATCAAACACAGTAAAGAGCTTATGCTTGGAACTGGAAATTAGAAGCAAGCCAGAGTGCCTTTCTTAAGAACAAGATCCAGAATTAGGGACAGGCAGAGTAGGAGAGTTAATTATCAGTAGGAGCCTTAAGAAGAGAGAGGGAGTAGGTTTCCAGTGAGGAATCTGATTTATTTCTCTCCTCTGTCTTGAAAATTACTGGACTTCTTACCCCCTTTGGAATCCCTTCCATCCTCCCTTCTTTCATATAGTCATTTTCTTCGCACTCCAAAAGGAATGTAGTCAGTGTCGAGGAAACCTAGTTCTAGTCCCTTTATGGTCCAAGCTCACTGCTAGCACCATGTTTGTTTTATGTTGATGTTTCCCATCTCCACTCTAACCCTACTCAAAGCTGTCTTGGTTGTGTGTATGTGTGTGTATATATGCTAGCTTTTTGCTGAAAATAGTTTCAAATTTATATTAAAATTTGGAAGAAATATGGTAGCCCTGGTGAGTCACTGTAGGATAAGTACTATACCACAAGGTTGTTTGAATCGTGAAGTCGGCAGTTCAAACTCACCAGTCACTCATCAGAAACTCTGTATAGGGTTGCTATGAGTTGGAAACAACTCAAAGGCACTTAACAACATATATTTGTTATCCATAGTAACCAATTATCAGCATTTTGCTACATTAGTTATTTGCTTTCCCAGTCGTTTTTTTCTGTATCTGTCTCTCACTCACATTTCTCTTCCATTATTACAATACAATTAGCAAATTCAGAATATTGACACAGTCCATATTTAAGCTGAACTAGTTAGGCCAGTAATATCCAGGTTTCTTCATTTCATTTAGTTGTCACAACATTTTAGTCTCCTTTCATCTGAAACAGCTTTGTTTTTCCTAATGCAAAAATGGCATGGAGAACATGTCCGACTTCCTCTGGCTTCACAAGGGAGAAAGAGAATAAAACTCAAAATCAAACCAAGGCTGATTTCTATAAAACAGAAGCCAGACATCCCTTTATATTTCAACCATATTTAGCCTATTCTGATACCAACTATCCCTCCCACAGCATTCTCTGCTTCATATTTAGGTTCAA